GCTTTCCTTTTATTTTGGATCAGCTTTCCTTCGGTAGTTGTACACTAAGTATGAGATCCATTGGCATAGGAGAAAATCAAGGGCGACACATATGTTGAAGAAAAAAATTGGATTATTGTTAGATAATTATGACCAGAAGTAGCGTATGACTACGCATCAAGCATTCCGATGAGCATGAGTAATTAACTAGTTGGTGTTTGGGTGTGAAAAAAGGAGACGTACGGAACTGAAATGTAACCCTTTCTAATATAGCGAAGGAGTGGGAGAAAGTGCAAACAATAGACCTGATTTCCGCCAGAAAAAGTGAACTTTCATGTCGTTTTCCAGTTTTTGGCGAAGGGCTTAAACTCATACACATACCAAGAGGAAAAGAGCTGCTTCCCCTTGTAAGCAACGATGCGAGCATGCAAAAGGCGGAGAAAATGGACCAATGAAAAGGAAGTACGTAATATACACACACCAAGCTAAATGACTAGTCCGTTAGAAGAGGTGGAATTCACAATCATCAAGCGCGCCCGCGGAGAGGTGGAGGAGGAAAGAGGGCATAAGAAATCAGCTGCTCCGCATGGTCGATGTGTACTTGTGCGGAGAATGCTAAAATGAGTCCCACAAGAAGGGACATCTGACGTCATGCAAGCACTGTGTATAGCAAACGACAATTATTAATGTGCGCATTTAACCGTGCAAATACTTCGGACCATATGGATTATGCAGCCAACTTAACGTGGCCAACATTTACAAGCTTCACCCCATACAGAAGACCTCCCTCTGTCTATAGAGATCGACCCTTATAGGAAAGCGATAGAAGTGGAGAGTGAACTCAACTTCATTTAAAACCTGCATTTCTCCCATTTGATAACAAAAAATGAAGACCGAAGGAGGGGACATCTAATGTAGATGACATGCAGCCTAGAAACCTACTTCAGAAGGCTGACTGATTTCAGCAACCTTGCAATATCCTTGTTCTGTAGCCATTTCTGATAAAAACGGACCGAAAAAAAGGTCCTAAGACTTTTCTAGAGTTTATAAGTGCGAATTACGTCAGTCCAAAGGAACGAAGTCCTCACAATGCGACCTTAGACAAACCTCTCAGGGAAAAGCAAGCGACATAGAGGTTCCACTCTAAAGCCAAACATTCGGATAAAATATCTTGACCACATATGACAATGCCAGTAGAGTAAATGACATTACGACAAAAACAGAAAACCGAAAAACAAGCAAAAATGGGGAAGAGCCGACCCACCTTCCTGACACCGGGCACTTCAATGGCAATGGGAATGACACTGGCAAGAAGGCAGCCGTAGAAAGCGACGAGGTAGGAAATGGGATCGTTGGAACTGTAGACCAGCGCTACCCGATCCCGTGGTTTTAGGCTCTGACCGCCCCTATGACCGAGTTTATTTAGCAGGAGGAAGGCTATGCGGTTGGAGCGCTGTGAAAGTAGAAATGTAATGGTGTGCGGTAAACTTTCGGTTTCTAATAACCGAGTAGAAATTCGAAATTCAAAGAGGTTATTTTGCAAAATACCAAAAAATCTGTTGGATGAGAGCCATAAGAAATGTCAAATTAAGGATGGATAGCACCCAAAGGTGAAAATTTTTGCCGATGGGTGAACCCAAATAAAAGCGATGACTCATAGGAGCTATAAATGTGGTATTCATGGAATTTTAATGATGCTCTGATCCTATTTTTGACCAGAAAGGAAAAACGACGCCTGTCACAGTCTTGTAATACCCGATCCAGCTTATTATTTAAGACATACGAGGAAACAAGCAAACCCACCACTTCTTTACATTCATATTAAACCCTGACTACATCTTTTGAGACGGCTCAGAAAATTGGTAAGTGCCAAACAAGTATGATGAAGAGAAGGATTCCACCCATGCCAAAGAAGTGGACAATGGATTCGTTCTTTGATTTCAAAACACTAGCTGCCGCATTTCATCTTTGGAGCATCAATACCAATGCCATATGTGAGCATAACCGCACCATCAGCAAGGCCATACTCCGATTAGAATCTACCTGCAGCAGCTTGGCGTAGGAGAGCACCTGCGTAGAACGTCCCGAAGGCTCAAGACACGTGAGAGCAGGTGTCTTGCCAATCACACTTGCGTACCGCTGCAGTGCTGACTCAATGTTCCTTGGAAGTCCCGAAGAAACCTAAATGGGGAAAAGTAGCAACGAATGTGCAGTTTTACATCACTTCAATACTAAAATCGGAATGTCGCATACAATGAGCTTTTCACCGATGAGAGGTTCAGTGATAGCGCCCAATGGTTTCGGAGCGTTGGGGTCGACAACAGGCTGGACAAGGATCTGGTCGTCCTCATCAATAAAGTACTCCGGCAGAGGACGGCGTTTGGGTCGCTTAAGGGTGTTCACAAGTTGTTGGATCTTCTCGGACACTCGAGAAGGACACACTAGACCGCTCTGGTACATCGATTGAGGGTTGGGAAGAACCTCCATAACTGAAGAGGTGAGAGATGGTCGGAGGAGCCTACTCTCGTCACTTCCGGCCCTACCGGAGTTTAAAATCTGTGGAGAGGGCTGACTAGAACCTGTGTTGGAGCCTGTGAGGAAAAAAGAGCTGGAAATAATTTGGGGAGAATAAATACATGAACGATAAACAGAATGTCAATGAGTCATGCTGAGCGTTTAGTAAAGTATTGGGAAAGATATAGCGACATCTAATGAGGCCTTTTATCACGAATGTTCCAGAGGCAGTAGTAAGTACAAATTGTGCCCCTTGCACGATGGACCAGGTAAGGTTCAGTACAAGTTAGACACTGCTAGCCGAGGATAGATAGCAGGACATAGCTGCAGTGTGTACATATGCGCGCACGAATGTATAGTAAATGAAAGCTTCTTGTGTAAGCCCGGGAACGTGTCCATGTATTTGCGGGAGACTATACCCCACAGCATTGGTAGCAAGACACTCAATCGAATGACTACAAGAATAAACTCAAATGACAGAATTTCCTTCAAAACAGACTTACAGTCTGCATATCTCCAAATGTGTTCAATTTCTCAACCTTATAACGCTCCTCCTACTTCCATAACACCAATAAATCAAACGGAACGTCAAATGTGACAATAATCTAAAAAAAGTACGAAACTAGCCATACTGACGACAAATAATATTGAAAGAGCATTAAAACAAGGATGAAGGAAAAAATATGAACCCTAGATGAATAGATTAAGGACTCAAGATGTTTCCTGATGCTGCGGAAATTGGTGAAAATGTCGCGGTTTCGCTACCCAATTAAGTGCTTCCTTGTGCCGCAGTCCGCTATAATCATGAAAGGTTTTATCTCCAAACAGTTGACAGAGCCAGCCTGTACTAACTGTCAAAATGGCGACCACACACTTCAAGTAACAATCAACGTGTTCGCTTCCACAGCTTTGCCCGATCTCTCGTACCCAATTTTACGTGTTTCGTGGGTTTATGAAAACTACGAGGCGTAAACAAACGGATCAATTCGTGCAAGATACCCTACTCTTCGAGAAAAATTACAACTTTTCCAATAACATAGCAATATTTATTGCCACGAAAACTGACGATCAAGTCCGCTCCGAGTCGTCGGTAAAGAAAGATGTAAAAGACAGCACCAGTGCATCTCGAAGGCCTGCAATATTGCAGCAGCCTAACACCAAAATAAGACGGTAAGACCAAGGACAAAAAATTGCGTGCGTTTTACAATGGCTGACTAGCTGTAATTATAACTAAAATTTGTTCGACAAACCAGTCCTGAAAAGTGATGATTGGGACGCATGCCAAGTGTAGTCCACATGAGTCATTCCAAAAGCTAGAGGAGTGACAACAAAATTGAATGCTAGTTCAACTGGAAATATGAAGAGGCAGATAGGTGGTGGTGCCATTATTGTAAATGCAATTAGGTGTGCCCTCCTTTCCTTGCAATAGAGCATCGAGAAGTCGGCCAAAGTTACCTTAAAATGAAAGACTGTTTCCAATTATTCAAGACGAAAGACAATTAAGATATTCCTGCTTCAGCTTGGATCAAACGCGCAATCCGCTGAATAGAGGAGGCAGAGTGAGCAAAAAGGGAGCATTGGGTATGTGTTTAGACCACCGCCCACGTGAAGCATGTCCGTAATGACGAGGGACAGTTGGTATGAGACTTCAGAAAAGAGTGCCATTGATGGTGTTGGGGAAGAAAGTGTCAAACCAAAATCTATTTCCTAC